TCACATCGAAGATGATGCTTGAGAAAATTTCAATTACATCATAAATTACATATTCGAATTCTCAATAAAAATTTTATATAAATATAATTTTGCTTGAGTGCCATTGCGATCACTTGTTAATCACATCGGAATGATGCTTGAGAGCACCCTACATTTCTGTAAGGATTTTTCTTATTGTTTATTTTAAAGAAAGTTATAAGGAATTAAAGTTTGTAATAGCATAAAAAAATTGGCGTTTAATATGTATAATAAAAAAATATAAGTTATAGATTTATTTAGCCAATCGGAGTCAATTATATGAAAATTAGCCAATCAAATACGATTATGTAAGCACCAAAAATTGACGCTTTATAGATAGATTGGATGTCTTTTACTGTCCGGTACTGTACAATTAGAAGTATATAATACAAGAAAAAGTAAGGTATAAGAGTTTTATTGGAGTTAAGTTAAGTATAGGATTCTACTACCCAAAAAGATATTAACAACATGGTTTTACTTTGGTTTATTTTACCAATTTCTGAAAAATTATTAATGTACTAGTTATATATATATATATATATATATATATATATAAAAGGATAAATAAAAGAGGATCAATGTATTTTTTGCAGTAGAGTCTTATATTTAACTCCAATATCCAACTTTTTTTTCATTATGTATGTGATGAAATATATACTGTGTAAATAATAGAAGTCGATTGCTAATCAATGAACAGAATACATCGCCGCAGATATGGCGTAGGAAATAGAACTCCGTTCATAACGCCCGCTTTCTTTTGTGACCATCTTATTGTACGCACATGCATATAAATTACCTAATTTAACGTTATGCAATGCAGTTATCAAATTTCCTTTTATGGGTTGAATTTCCTTTTAAGCTAACAATAACTTCTGACATCAATAAAAAGGTGTCATATTCATGCAACATATGTACGATGTGTCAATACTTTGACAATGTCACAAACAAATCGAGAACGAAATTTTAAAAGAAATCCTAGAGGGGGATATAATAAAAATAGGCGATTCAATGATCGAAATGAAGGGTTATGTTTCATTTGTGGGCAACCAGGTCATATTTCTCGTGATTGCACTGGTGGGGGATCAACAAAACATCAAGATATAGAAGAAAACCAACTTAAAACATTATCTGACAATTTTAGTTCATCTGAATTATCTTATGATGGCTCTGATAAAATCGTTTTCATACCACAAGGCGATGACCTTAAAGGGTTGTGGAAAAGTATGATAAAGAGAGAATTAGTCAATCAACATAAAATGAGGCATTTTATTACGTCGTGCCTTGCAGCATCAGACAAAAAGGTGGGGCATGAAGTTGAACAGCTTGTCTCAGAATTGGGCCGGGCTGAAGGTCTGAAACGTATAAGAGAAATTGTCATGTTTCCTATGTCAGTGGATGCTGGGTATGTATTATTTAATTTCAATGATGGATATTTTAACGATTAGTTAATTTTTTTTAAATTCAAATCCAGACTTGCTAGCGCAACTGCTTCTTTCCAGCGTGTGATATTGCCATTCATGGCACTGTTAACTCGCTCAGGAATTACTGAGTGCAATATAGAGAAATATGTTCATCCAATATTTTATACTGTTTATACAAATCTGGTATAATTTTTTTTTTTTTTTTTTTGAAATTTAATTGATCTCCAATTTAATTCTAATTTGATATTAATCATTGTGTAAAAGAAACCGTTTATGCTTGAAGGTGTTATTCCTATGTTAGAGACTTTAGTTCAAAGAAATGATATTTCTGACAGAAGAACAAATAAATCTTTGTTGCTTGACGATGATTCAAGTGCATTCATACCTACTTCGTAAGTATAGTAAATTGTAAATCAACATTTTCTATCTAATCTATAATAATAATTTTTTTTTTCAATAGAATGGGCCAATTCTTCTTGATCATTGTAAGATTGTGTAATGAATTTATGAAGCGTATAAAGGAGGCGTCGATTAACGATACAATGTCCAAAATTGTTGATAGGATCGAACAAGCGAAAAGATTGTGGAAAAATTCCCTTGATCAAACTACTGAAAATGTATATAGCGAACCACTTGTTTCTGATATTGATCGTCAAAAATATTTTTTCATGATCCTTGATAAGGAAATAAATAACATGAATAAAATGTTAAATAATGGTCAACGCAGCTTGTCACCTCAAGAAACTCGTCCAAATTCATCAACAAAATCTGATAGTTCCATCACGTATTATCGTAAATTGGCTAAAAAAGTTGCTTTAATGCATGATTATGATCCTCCGGGTATTGTATATTATAATTTTATCATACTTTCTTTTATATGTTGATTATAACACAGTTTTTCTTTATTTTATAAAGGTGAACTTTCCAAACATGGACCACGCCATGATAATGACTTTAGTGAAATAGCAAAAATTTCAATTATTCCTACTAAAAATGAAGTTTTATGTAAACGAGATCCATTTTTACCAACAACAAATATGGATGACTCTTTACATTATCTGCCAAAAGGTTCTCAACGCCTTCTTGATACACAATTTCGCCTTCTTAGAGAAGATTTGATGTGTCCTATACGTCTTGGTATTGTAAAGTAAGTTCTTTTTTTAATACATAAATTTATATAAATGTATACGTGTTCGACTAAATTTCAGCATTGAACTAAATTAAAAAATTTTTATCTTCATTTTTTACAAAGTTTCATTGAATTTTTAAAATCATCTGAAAATAACGCAAAAATTAAAAAATTACGAGAACGTGGAGGGAGGCATAAATATGATAATGCCATGGATGGAACGAATGGAAGTGACTTAAATGTATATGCCAATGTTCAATTTTCCGAAATAAAAGTTGATAAAAGGCGTGGCTTTTCTTGCAGAATGGAATTTACGCAACCCCCCAATGCGACGCTATTCTGAAAATAAGCAAAGTCGAGTGCAGTATTGGAGCAAAAGTAGAAAACTCATGAATGGAAGTTTGGTTTGTCTGCTTTGGCCATCCAAAAATGATTCATCCGACAATGACCCTCAATTTTCTTTATTCTTTGGAACCGTGTCACTTCGTGATGAAAATTTGTTAGCGCAAAAGCAACATACAGCAATGATTGATATCAGTTTTATTGATACATCAATTTATATAATTGCTTTGAAAGAAATAATGAAAAAAAATTCAAATAAACAGACAAAAGGATGTTTTATGGTCGAATCTACTGGAGTGGTATGAATTTAAGTTCTTAATTTTAAAAGTTAATTGTATATACCTCTTTTTTTTTTTAAAAAAAAAAAATGCATTTCAATTTTAATATTATCCTATAGTATTTTGAATCATATTTCCATATTTTAAAAACTCTACAACAAACTTCATCATCTCCTAATCTTCCTTTTGAAAAATATTTGGCACCACAAGTAATCGAAAATTCTTCGTTTGCCTTCGTTGACCCACCTACATACGCTCGAGCACCTGGATTCGAATTTGATTTGTCTGCGATTCTTGAAGATAAAACCAAACAACTTTCACTAAACGTTGTTGACACATCTTCTCATAAAACTGTTATTCAAAATCTTAAAGAATTAAGTAGACTTGACGAAAGTCAAGGTATTATATAAGAATTTTATGATTTATTTAAGATTTATTGAATTATTACCAATGCTTTTTTTTTTTATAAATTTCCTTTATGCAGCGCAATCCCTTGTATATTCTTTATGCCGAGAAATTGCATTGATTGAAGGTTTGTTTTTATTATACATTATGCATCGATGTGTTCTGTGATGTACGTTTATATGTTTATGCAAAAAATTATGATAAAATTAATAGGACCTCCTGGGACTGGAAAAACTTTCGTCGGTGTCGAATTAATGAGAGTGTTGTTAGCGAATCGGAAAACTACAAATATAGGACCAATATTAACAATTTGTTTTACTAACCATGCGTTAGATCAGTTCCTTGAGGTAATTAATAACCATATTGAAATATATTACGAATGTTAATATCTAATACGATTATTATGATATTTTTAGAATTTATTAAAGGTTGGAATCCAGAATATTGTACGGTTGGGCAGCCGATCAAAATCCGATATTATTAGAGGGTTTAACCTAGAAGAGATATGTCGGAATCGTGCTCGTTCTAAACATCAAGGGTGGTTGTTAGCTCAAGGATATAAGGAACTTGAAGAAATTCAAAAAGAGGCAGAAAGGCTACAAAGTAATTTAACTAATGGAGTGTTAGACTGGAGTGATGTTACTTTATATTTGAAAGTGGAATACCCAGATCATTTTAAAAGCTTTCAAAATCCAGATATACCAGACTTTTTATTCGAAGGCACAGTTGAAGAAGATGATGATGATGGAGAATGGAAGCAAGCGAAACGTAAAAGAAAAAAAAAGCGGTCAATATTTCGTCAATGGGTTGATGGAAATGACTTGCACCTTGCACAGATGTGGGCTGATAACTTGAGAGATAGAAATGCTAAGGATCAAAAAAAGAAAAATGATAATGCACGTGACAATACATATGAGATTCTTGAAAATGTTGATGAAGATGATGAACTTTATGCTGAAGATGAAGATGATGAAGATGACGAAGAAGTTTATGCTAGTTACGAACAAAATTGGCTTCTTTCTTGGACAAGACCCACAAGCAATCGATCTTTAGAAGAGCTCAAACTTGATTCCAAAGTTTGGCAAATGTCTAGTGGCGAAAGAGCAACTTTGTTCTCATTTTGGAAAGAGGAAATTCAATCTGAGTCTTTTGATGAACTTGATAAAATTCAAGAGTCATTTGGAGCGAAAACAAAGGAAGTTGAAGAAATTTACAATGAAGGTCGCCGTCAGATTCTTCGAGATTGTGATGTAATTGGAATGACAACCAATGGTGCTGCCAAATTTCAAAATTTAATTCGCTCTATTGGTAAGATGTCAAAATGTATTACAATATTCGCATTATTACATACCGATACGTAAATAGATCTTAAATTGTGACTTATATGAATTATTATAGGACCACGTATAATTATTTGTGAAGAAGCGGGTGAGGTCTTAGAGGCACATATTTTGAGTGCACTAACTCCAGCTACTCAACAATTGATCCTTATCGGTGACCATAATCAGGCATGAATAAATTTTTTCTTGATATATCATTTATTATGAGTTACGTATATTTATACGTATGTAAATTTTTAGCTCCGCCCTCATTGCTCTACATACTCTTTAACATGTGATTCGAAAATCGGAATTAACTACGCCCTTGACAAAAGTCTTTTTGAACGTCTTGTTAATGGTGATCAGACAATGCGTCTAGAGAAATCGCAATTACACACGCAAAGACGGATGAGAAAAGAAGTTTCTGATTTAATTCGGCTCACACTCTATAATAAACTTGTTGATGATGAAAAAACTGTTAGTTACCCAGACGTACGTGGTGCTCAGAGAAATGTTTATTTTATGGATCATCGTCATCCTGAAGATTCAGGAGAAAATGATTTTGTATTAAATTCACATTCAAATACATTTGAGGTTGAGATGGTAGTTGAACTTGTTAAGGTAACTGATTATTTTGTATTTTCAACAGTTCTTATTAATATATATTAAGAATTACAAATAATTCATGTTTTGACTATTTATTTAGTACTTTGTTCGTAATGGTTACAATAAACCAAGTCAAATTGCGGTGTTGACACCATACCTTGGTCAACTTATTAAAATAAGGGACGCTCTGCAAAAATCATTTGTTGTTGTAATCGACGAACGTGATGATCAAATGATTACTAATATGGAAGAAGGCATGGACGTTGAAAATGAAAATACAGATGGAGGGTCAACGACTTTCACTACTGCTTCTGAAAAGAAATTATCTCAACAAGTAATTGGCAATATTATTTTACTGTATTAAGATGTGATCTTTTTTGATTATGTAAAATTTAATCTTCAAATTAAAAAATAGGTTATTCTTCGTACAGTTGATAATTTTCAAGGAGAAGAAGCTGATATAGTAATTGTATCACTTGTCCGTAATTGCCAAAATATGGAACGTGGGAATATTGGATTTTTGAAGTCAAGAAATCGTTCTAACGTTCTCTTATCTCGTGCAAAACATGGAATGTATCTTCTGGGAAATGCAGAATTGATGGAAAAGCATTCAGATTTTTGGAAGAGAGTTTTGCTAATTTTACACGAACGTGGTCAAATCGGTCCAGGCTTCCCGATTTTATGTGCACAACATCCAGATTATAAGAATTCCATATATGAAGCCATGCAATTCAGTGAAATTTCCCCTGATGGTGGTTGCTTCGAGCCATGTAGGTTTATTTATCATTACATTTTTTATTGTACAGCAACCACTGTATATTAAATTTTTTAATTTGATAAATTTCATAGGCCAGCAACAATTAAAATGCGGACATACATGTGAGTTTATTTTTAAACCTTTATTTATTGTTTTTATACAAATGTACACTACTAATCTAATAATTATAGGTCCATATAAATGTCATTCGGATGACCCACAGCACGTTGGCGTTTTTTGTAGAAAAGATTGTATGAGATTGCACTCCGATTGTCAACATCCTTGCTTAAATAAAATGTGCGGAGAGGATTGTGGCAAATGCTTATTCCCGGTTGAAAACATTGAATTGCCATGTGGACACGAATATATAGATGCTAAGGTATGGAAAATATAAAAATCTAAAATTTTGAACTTATTTAATTTTGACATTATATTCGACTTTTATATAGTGTGACGATAAGAAAAATAAGGATAGGCTCCGTTGTCACGAAGAAGTGCGAAGGAAATTGCCTAAATGTGAACATGAGCATTTAATGGAGGTATGAAAAGGGATCATTTATTTCGATCGTTATTATTAAATTTTGCTGACCTATATACTTGATTATTATTATTTAGTGCTTTGAATCAGTTGATGATTTCGATTGCACAGAAAAATGTAAAAAAAATCTTCCTTGTGGGCATTCCTGCATGTCCAGATGCTTCGAATGCCAGAAGTTTTCTAAGAGAGCAAATCCAGATGATCATTTGGACAGTGATGGACGAACTGTTAGATCACATCATGGAAGATGCACACAGAAATGTGGAAGGTACTTATTAGAATTAGTCTCTTAAATATGTTCTTATCTAAGCTAATTTAATATTTATGCGCGACAATAGGACCTTATTTTGTGGTATAAATATTTCTGCTTCTGTTTATTTTATTAAAAAGATGTGAATATTATTTTAAGATACATAAATTTGTCGACTTAAGGTCATATATGTAAAGAAAGATGTCATGAAGGTCAACCGTGCAAACCTTGTAGAAATTACTGTGATGTTTCTTGCATGCATTCGAAATGTAAACAAATCTGTGCTGAACCTTGCTCCGTATGTGCTGAAGGTAATGAAATAGTTACGAATCGCATAGAATGAATCTAAATATTTATTTAATAGCTTGTTAAATTTTATAGCATGTGAATGGCAATGTGAACACGAGGGTGCTTGCAATTTGCCATGTGGTGTACCTTGTATCCGACTTCCATGCGATTTGCGATGTGAAAAATTATTAAAGTGTGGGCATCAATGTTTCGGTCTTTGCGGTAAGTCATATCATTGTTTGAAGATATTCTTTATATTGCCATTAACAAAGCATTTTAAACTAATATGCTCCATTAATCTTTTTTTTCAATTATCATTCATAGGCGAAATATGTCCCCCACCGAAGTACTGTGTAGATTGCACTACAGATGTTAACGTCAAAAATCAAGGTTTTATATAGGGCTAGATTATTGTTATGTGAAAAAATTATTTTTTACTAATTTAATTATCAATATTAGTTGTCGATTTGATTATGCAAGAAACATTTGCGGAAGTGGATTGGACTCTTGAAAGAATGGTTGTTTTACATTGCGGTCATGTATACACAGCAGAAAGCCTCGATAATTGGATGGATATGAAAGAATATTATGAAATGGACAACGACAGCAATTGGATCCAAGTCAAGTCAATTACTTCGCATCTAGGAGAGTCTAAAAAATGTCCACAATGCCGCGCTCCTATTAAGAATGTTTATCGTTACGGAAGAGCAACAAAGAAACATGTCTTGGATGTACAAAACAAAAAATTTTTGATTAAATGTGATATCCAATTGAAGGAACAAACTAAAAAAACGACGACTGCTACAGCTCAATTAGAAAATATGCGAAAGAGATTGTTGGAGGAAATTAAATTACCTCCAAAAATGCAAAAAAACAAAGAAATGAACATTATGGAAAGAGAATCTAAATTTAAAGCAATTCCAGAAGTTATACCAACCGAGCAATATACATCGATTGAAAAATATTACCATATTCCAACGACGCATGCAGAAAAATGGGAAAAACATATATTAGTACTTTTAGCCATATATCGAAATCTGATGAGACTAATGTTGGCGACTAAGTCTCCACCATATAAACTTGCATATGAGGCTGCTGTATCTCGACTGTAAGTTAATAATTCTTAAATTTTAGGAAAAATATTCGATTTGCTTACAAATTTTCGCTTTATATTATATGTATAGGTATGAATCTAAAACCAAAATCAATATGGATGACCTCGTCAGCAATTTCGAATCCTTGAATATTTCAAACTATGACTCTCCCGCTCATCAACGTGATAAATTCCAGGAAACTTTGGCTGAAGTTGGGATAATTGCTCCTAAATTGGATGTCCGCATGTTTCTTGATGCATTTTTCTGCATAGTTAACATCCAAAAGGCAATCTTTCACGAAGTTTCTAAGATTATTCCAGAGTTGCCAAGAGAAACCAATATAGAAATAAATTCAACAACTCAGCGCGTTTCTTATAATAAAAATTGGATTAACTTTGGTGGACATGTTATCGAAACCGTTAGAAAACACCTTGATTCAATAATTACTATAGCTAAAGAGAACCAATATCGTCGTCATCTTGTTCTGGCATCGTTGGAGTTGGCGGAGTTTGAAGTTAAAGCTGAGAGATTTAAACTCAAGTATCCCCCTACAGGCACCTTAAATCCTATAATTCAAGAGTCTGTCAAGAATAAATGTGCTGGAATTGAGAAAATATGTATACAAATTTGTGATGAAGTACTTCCTAAAATGAATGTTGAACATTTTGAAAAAGAATGCAAATCAAGAGTCGATAAAATTCTTTTGGAAGTTGTGGATCTTCATGCTGCTGCTATGAGAGATAGACCTTTAACATATGAAGAAAAGCTGAACATACATAAAGCAATGAGTACTGAATTTCAGGGATCAGGGGTAATATTTTTATTACAAAATTTTTATATTTTTATTTTATAATTATCACTTTGGTAAATTTCGAAACAAATTTAAAATTTTAGCATTGGTATGAATGTCCAAATGGTCATGCTTATACGATTGGAGATTGTGGAAATGCCAACCAATCGAGACGGTAATTCATTTGACAATTATGAGTTTTTTTGAGGCCTTGTACTAATCGGTACCTTTTATCTTCTTTTTTAAATGCCAGCTGTCCGGATTGTGGTGAAGCAATTGGTGGAGAAGGTAATTTTTTAAAATTTAGCAATTAAGTTAACAAATTTTACTTAAAATCAAAAAAATTAAATACCATCTACAAAAATATTATTTAAAGGTATACTCGCTGCTCGAAACAGACGAAATATGGAATTTGAACATATGCATTCCTGAAAGGTATTATTATTATTATTATTTTTATTTATAATGTTTAATTTTTCGGTCTAGCTAAAATAATATTATCGTCTGCTCCTTAGGAATTATTTTTTTATCGATAATTTTTGGAGTTCATTATTATTTTAAATAGTCATCACTTTTACGTTTTACATATACTTTATAACCATACTTTCGACAATATCTACTGCTAAACTTTGCATAACAATCAGTTTTGGTAAAACTGGCAATTAACCAATTTCTTGAACAATTTGCTAGTTTGCATCGTTATTAAGACTATGTAATATTTAACCAGAATAAAAATGCCGATCATAACGGCATAGAACAAGCTAATATTTATTCATAATGAAATATTTATTTTGAACAAATATTCGCGCAATAAACGTTTTTTTTAAAACAAAACAAAAGGCATTAATACATTATTCGCGTAATAACAGTTTAAAGATATGTGGGGGTGAGTCAATAGAAACACACCAAATCTTTTTTAATGAAATTTTTTTAAATTTTAAACAAATATAACTCAACAAAAACTTGAACAAATCTAGTAAAATTTTTTTTAATTATTTTCTATAAGTAATTAGAATTATTTTAAAAAAATTTTTATTAAGTTATTGTTAAGTTATTTTTGTTCGAAGTTTTAAAAAAATTTACTTAGAAAAAATTTGGTGCGTTTCTATTGACTCACCCCCCATGTATTCGCGTAACATAATATATATATTAAAGTAGATATATTTAAAAACAACTTACTCGCGTGACAGATGTTTTACATATTTGATAACTAACTCAAGACGCGTAACGAACTTAAAAAATACCACACGCACAAAAAATACTATTCGTATAATGAGCTTAAAATCTGTTCAACCCAAAATTGTATAAATTGTTTATAAAAAACGTTCAGTACAAATTTTTTTTTTAAAAAAAGTCTTTTAATAAATAATTGTAATGGCTTTTTTTAAGAACATTCGTGTGACAGTCTTTTTTGCAAAAGCATTATTCAAGTAATAACAGGCTAGTTTGTAGCGAATGGTTTAAATTATAGTGTTTAAAAAGAAACATCGTTTGCAAGATTTTCTTTAACCTAAAATGTTTAAAAACATTCACGTACGTACGTGCACTTAATGTCTATTTTTACCGCGAATTTTTAATTACGTGAATGACGTATCAAAAAACTGCACGAATGACGTTTTCAAAAAGTGTTACGCAAACGTTACACCTTCGCCAATTTCAACATGACCCGAGATAATTATATACGTGTAAATACACTTAGTCCCGACAAATAAATTTGACTGACTAATCCTTATTCACAATAAACAAATCTCTATAGAATAGTAAAACCATTCAAGCTAAAACTTGGTTTGATTTTTTTTAAAAATTATTTTTAATATTGTAGAAAATTAAAGTCAAGGTAATTTTACAATTAACCAAGCAATTTGACTGCTTAAAATTACTATTAAGCATGCATGCAAACTTGATCATCTTACATACATATATGTTAAATCAGCTATGTTTAATTAATAATTTGGCCACTTTATAATAAAATTTTAAATTCGGCCACACTATATAACTTATATAAAAATTCAAATTCAAATTTGGCCGCTAAAAATTTTTATTAGTTGGGACTTTCTGACTATTTTGTTCCTTTCATACGTACTAACTTCATAGATTTTCATTAGGTAGCATTAGGAATGTTAGGATTCGTTGTATATCTTGAGTAGTGTATAAATAATCATTTTCACCTTGCTGTAGACCTTAGACTTCGCTTTGGGTTTATTCGATTAAAATGAAATGAGGGGTTTCTATTAACCCACTTATACAGTACTTGTTTGTTATATATTTGACACTATCACTCATTTCATTTTATCTGATTCATTTTAATCCGTCACATTTATTGAGCTTATCAGTCAAGTGCAATTTTCAGCCTAAATGATTTAATTAAGGGAAGCTACAGCACATATGAAATAATAGGACTATCTATATGTTTTGTAAGAAAAGATAGTTTTTGCTTCTAAACTAACACTTGTATCTTAAAATATAACTGATATTCATATCGGCGGATTTATGAAATTGGACCTTTTTTTAGGTCACCAAAAATAAGATAAAATATAATTACTAAATTAAGATAACCCCTAAAATCTAATAAAAATTTACGTCAAACCATTTTTCAATTATACTAGTAGCGTCAACTTATTATGTCTAACCCCATTTTCCAACCTTTTAACCCATTTCTTTTAAACAATCGCAAGTAATTAAAAGCAATTAAGAAGTAGATTGTACAGGTTTGACAATAGTAGTATATATTTATTTAAAAGTTTATAAACAACAGTTTCTTTTTATTAACGTGTTATATTTTAAAGAAATGACATAGTGTTCCGTGTTTACTTTGTGTTAATAAAACACTAAAAAATCTTCGTGGCTTACGTATACATCAAAGAGTTGTTCATCAATCAACTACAACTAATTCATTTTCTTGTCCTCTTTGTCCACACAGTTCCTTTAAAAGCAAAAGTGGGTGGAGCCAACATGAAACCCTTAAACATAATAATTACAATATACCTAAACATTTAAATGAACTTCCTCAAGATCACATTAATGAAATAAAAGTGGCTTTGGTTTATCTAATTCGATCTCATCTCAAATTACACTCCAAGCATTTGCTATTCCCTCACCATTAACTGAGTCAGAATTTGTTTGTATATTTCGAAACCATATCAAATGCTATTCATTTTGCCAGCAAAAATATGTGTTATTTTGGAGGGTATGACGCATATGATACTTTAAGTTATATTTTTAATGAAACAAATTGGGGAAGACGGATTTTTGAACATGGTCAATGGTCAGAAGTTATTCTTGTACCAGATTCTACAAGTCCTGCGATGTGTACCAAACCTTTGCGAAGTTCTCTTTGAGTAAATCCAGAAAATCCAGAAATGATAATCATATGGGAAAAAAAGAGAAATTAACGATAATGAAGAAAATGTATCAATAGCTGGATGGATTACAATGCGATTTTTAGTAGGACAATTTTATTAAACTTTAAAGTGTGAAATAAAGATTTAATAAAAATTATTTGGCGACTTTTTTTAAATGATTTCAACTTTTAAAGTTTTATATTGAGAAGTTTTAAATTAAAAATACAATAGCAAATTACCTATACATTATTTAATCCAATCTACCAAGAAATAGCAAATCCCTATTTATTCGTTATGAAATCGGTACAATATAAGTTTAACAAAGTTTACATGTATTACACAGATTTGCACGATTGCTTTAATATCACTGACATAATATGCATTATTTCACACTTATATGATAATTGAAAATATTAAAAATTTCGAAGAATTATAGCTTTATTAAAAATAATGTAAAATTGATACATTATTTTTTTAAAAATAAATACATCATCCATTTCTAGCCTATATTTTGATTTTGAAACTGTAAATAACCATCGTCACTAAATCTTCAATAATAAACCTTATAAATTGAAAGTTTCAATAATCTGTAAATAATAATAAAAAAAGCATTCAATTTTTAATAAAAAACATTCTAAAGTTAATTAAAATTGATACAATTTCAAGAACTAATGTGATGCGATCTAGAGATTGTACCCAGATAGACATTTTAATATATGGCTATAATAATTACTCAGATAACCGGGGTAATTTAATAATACCTGGGTAGAGATTTTTTTGATAGGTACAATCTCTAATGCGATCACAGTTACCATATAGCCACGAAATAATGCTCGTAGGCATTATTTCAAAAATCAAAACCCCCTAAAATAGCATATACGGTCTCGAATTAGCACCCATGGATGTTCCGAATTAATGTGCACCTCAATATGGCCTACATAAAACAAAAGTGCTCCGGAACTGAATCGTACTAAGTAAGCCTACTTCCAAACATAACAAAAATTGTTCCTTACATTGAACCAAGTAGGTTTACTTAGTGCCTACCTAGTTCTGGCACAATGTTTTTTAATCTTATTATGATTAAGGGATACGATTTAATCTTAATTTGAAATAATGTGCAGGTGGGCATTATTTCACGGCTATACGGTATGCCTTGATCTACAAATTTCATACAGGCTGCTGACTATATTCATCATTTTACATCGTATCTGTTTTGGTGGAACTGGATAATATTTGAATACCTATACTATATATTCAATTCCTTAATACAATTAATATATACATCAAGCATTTGGCTAATATAATACATATTTATAGAATTCATAAATTTGATAATATTCGAATCATACCTTTATCTTTTTTGACTTATTTATATTCCACTAACATTACCTATAGCAATGGATTTTTCAATTCACTTCCTTTTTGCTAATATTTGACATTAAGTGGTCTATAATTCTTCCCAAATTTTTTGATAATATTTGAACGTCTTTATTTGTCCTTTTCAACTCCGATTCTTTACAGTAATGCTATAGCACAGACATATCTATAAATGATTATAGAGCATACATTCAACCATTGACATTTTGATATATTATTTGATTATACCTTGAATCCGGAATATGCATCTCATCTTCTATCTTCCACATAAGCAACTGTGAACGTTCGAACACCAATATCCACGATACATGCAACTGATATAACAACACCAAACTCACACAAACCGATTCCCACAAAAACATGCCGAAATTTCATATGGTAATTTTTGAGCTAATGAGACTTTGTTAGAATTGTTAATTTTAGCTCCATTAGATAACTTATCCAATTCAAGATCAATTTCTTATCCAAATACTTTGATAGTTGGCTATTCGTTATAATTCTAATATTTAATAACAGTATCAAAGAGATTAAAAAAGCAGAAATTGATTTAGAAATATGGCATACCTATTTTCGATCTTTTTATAATTAATATTTACAAGTGTTTGCCATTACAAAATAATTCTTAATAAAACACAAACCCAATATCGTATGAAGATATGATGGCCTAGTGATACCTTTTGATCTAGCTTATCATAGCAGTATCATTATCATTTC